GTGTAACTGACACAGTTTCTGTCATCTAGTGTTATTGGGAAAATGATTGCACACATATTGTCTTATCAAACTGTAATTTTAGCTTTCGTTTAGTTTAGACTAATAAAATGTTTACATGCACTTTAAAAGCCTGATTTCAATCGGGCTAAAGCAAAAATCTAGTCCTTTTTTTTAAGATGTAATGTAAATGATTTTGTTAGCCTGATTTCTGTGAAGTCAAATGAACAGACCTAAATTCTAACAGAATGCTATTGTAGCTGGGCTTTGTCCAGCTTGTGTACATGTTAATCAGACTACAGCTGGCCTTGGCATTGTGCACTTGCTCCAAAAAACAGAGGTGGTGTGTAATGTGTGATATTATGTCAAATATTTAATTACGCATTGTCGTCATGTATACTTCAGAGACAAAGACCTGCAAAAACTCTCTGTAGCTGGATTATAACGGTGCATGTAAACTTATTAAGGGAAAACTTCACTGAATAATGTATTTAGTATGTTTAGAAGGAGGTGTGAGTTCATTCCATACATATTTTATACATAATGCTTCTGTCTGGCACTACAAGACATTTACATTTAAGACATTTAGCAGATGCTCCTTACCAGCTTACAAAAAGTGCTTCATATGAGACTGTTGTGATCACCAGATGGTAAGCATGCAATTAAGTTTTTATTAAGTTAAGTACTTCCTGTACATAAGCAAGTAAGTGCTGTCTGGATAAATATAATAATGTACATATACCGGTACTGTATTTTCCAGAATATAAGTCACGTTTTTTCATCATCTGAAATGTGCTGCAACTTTTATTTCAAAGCATCTTATATAATGCAATTAGCGTCAAGCATGCAAAACGGGCAAAGCACACATTTGTAGCCCACATGTTTTTTGTATAGCGCATTACCCACATGCTGGTAGTTTTAGTTTCACTTTAAATACGTTTATAATAAATCATGCTTATAATGAATGCCACTGCAATGTTTTATACTTAAATTTTTTCATTCCTGTTCGGATCTAAATACTGTTCAATTTAGAGCATGTGTCAAACTCAACTCTTGGAGGGCCACTATCCTACAGAGTTTAGCTCCAACCAACTCCAACAAACCAGCTGGATCAGGTGTATTTAATTGGGGTTGGAGCTAAATTCTGCAGGACATCAGCTCGCCAGAAGCTGATTTTGACACACCTTTGAATTTCTCATCTTTTTTTCCTCTTTACAATGTAAATTTGACCCGTTGCGACATAGTCAGAAGTGGCTTTTTTTCTGGAAAATACGCTACAGTAAAACCTAGTAGAAATAAACAAGCCCATGCAAGATTCTTTTTTAAAGGGGTCCTATTATGCTCTTTTACAAAGTCTTGATTTTGTTTTGGGGGTGTACTAGAACAGGCTCTCATACTAGGTTGTTCGAGAAACACATTATTTTTCACATATTTTACATTATTACAACACCTCTCCCCAGTCTGTCATGAACGGCTCGAATAGTTCCTGTATCAAATGAAAGCCCGCCTTCTGGAATACAAAATGTGCTGTGATTGGTTAGCTGGGCCAGTGTGTGCTGTGATTGGTTAGCTGGGCCAGTGTGTGTTGTGATTGGCAGCACTCGGCGCCTGGTTGGGAAATGTCATGCCTCTTACCATAGCCGTGCCTGCGAGCTTCAGTGTAAATATTGTGTCAAAATCAAACCAATTTGAGCGCGATTTAAACCCGGTTGATTGTAACCACTCTAAGTTCGTCTGCCTTGGGAAAGCCAGCGTGTCTCCGACATAGTGATAACACTCGTTGCCTTCTCTAGTGCAGCTCAAACCAGGTCTCGTCCCATTCGTCGATATTTGTGATATCACAAATCCCAGAAAAGATGCGTTGTAGTCCAAACGAGTCGTTCGTTGTAGTTTTTGAAAAGTGATTTCTGTTAAATAAAATATCTCCTTTTGAATTGGACTTTGAGCTTTGTAACTTTGCAGATCTTTTTTATGCTCAAACAGCAACATTACAGACTAACTAAAGTTGAAAAAGTGAAAAAGCATAATAGGACTCCTTTAAGTTAACCCAAATATTTTTTTCTACATGAGCTGCATGAGTTTGATTGCATGCTGGGAGGCACGTAGTAGTCAAGATGAGAGTATGTCACTTGCGGTGGGGTGCTTGCAAAAGACAGGTGGTTGTTCAGTGTGACACCAAGGTTCTTAGGTTTTTTTTTTTTGGGGGGAGACGTGTTTGATTTGTCAAGTAATTACAATAACTTTTAACAAAAGCATACAAAACTGTCCATTAACATGGGATGTGGTCTGTTTAGATAGCAGGATAAACACAAAATAAATAGAAAAGGAATTTTCTAGTATAATACTGTGGCAGAATGAAAGTGCCAGGAGAGATTTTTGTTATCTTCTTGTGGTTGCATTGTGGAAACAAAGAGCAGATCATTTATTTTTGAATCTGCCACCGCTATTTCCTATGCCATTGTACTGCGACAGCACTAGAGATGTCTCATCTCATCAAGAAAGAACCAGTGTTGTATTGTATATGAAAAAATTATTCATATTTAAAAAGTTAAATAAATTGTCTTTTTCATCTGCAGACTGTTCATGGTGGAGTTTTCAGAGGTGAAGCAGAAAAAAGCCCCAAAAAGACAGAGACTTCAACTTTGTCTGATAAAATGTCACCACAAAACCTCCAACCAAGGTTGACCAAACCAGTTAATGAGGCCTGCATGAAGGGAAGAGAGAGTTCTGCTGCACAGGAGTCAAGTGCTGGAGTTAGTATGAAGAACGCTGGTTGGACCTGTGGAGAGTGCCTCCTGTGGGTCTCTGACAGAGAGACCTACGTCAATCACATGAAGACCAGCCATGGCAAGGTGAGATCCTTTGCAGTGCATGTAGGATTTTGAATCTGTGATCCAAAATCTTCACATTTGAACATGCCTGTGTTTTGCAGTTGGTAAAAAGGCATCCATGTCGACTATGTGAAATGTCCTTCAATTCACCCTTGAGTCTTAAACGACACCTTCGCAGTGACCATGATGGGAGAAAGAAAGTTTACACATGCTGGTAAAATCACTATACTGTATAATTAAAAAAGAATTTGATATTCGAAGAAGTTTAATCAAGATTTCTTAAGAGGACAACTTTGTGTTGTTTCTTTAAAACTCCTGAAGGTACTGCACAACTGAGAGGATGTCATTCACTAAACACTCTATGCTAAAGAACCACATCAGCTTAATGCATGGAATCAAGAACCCAGATTTCAACCAGATGGCAAAGCTAGCATCTCAGGAGGTGGTCAAACCCACAAGCGAGGTAATCACAAATGCTTATTTTATTTATTTTGTAGAAACATTACTTCAAGTACAGCATATGCAACTGCATTATTCTCTTTCAGAAACGGAAAAGAAGAGCAGAGGGGGCTCATGGAGCAGCAGGAAACGGGGAAACATCATGCAGCGTCCCTGGCAAGCGACTTAAGCCACTTTATCGCTGTGCCAAATGTGGCTTTGCCTCTGAAAACCAGGCCCAGTTTCAGGAGCACATACCTCAACACAGAACTGACAGCGATGCACCCCAGTGCCAGCACTGCTGCCTTTGTTTCACCTCTCAGTTAGCACTCAGCAGACACCTCATTATTGTACATAAGGTCAAAGAACCGGAGGAGCGTGAAGACTTTATCGATGAGGACACAGGGAAAGGATAAGAACACTCAACAGACTTGAGCGATGAAACCACACCTCTTTCAGCAAAAAAGACTGGCCTGTCCACAGAGGACGAGCTAAGCAAACTCCACAGTGAGCTCACAGACACACAGGCATCAGAAACAAGTGGATTTGAGGAAGAAAAGGCCTGAACAGATGAAAGGACTCCTAATGGAAAGCTGCTAATCAACTTAATTGCAAGCAAATGTTTGCTGAATATGCAGCTGATAAATGTGGTACTGCAAACATGTTGCCTTACAGTGAAATACTATATCTCGTCATTTATCACATATATGAAATAATGTTAAAAACAGACACTTTTTCAGAGTTTTATTGCATTATTTGGATTAACTTAACTGTTAAATTCATGCAATTAATGGTCACTTTTTACTGCTTACTTGTCCATCCTATGTATGTGGATAATCATAATTTATTTTTGTGTAATTGCATAAGCATCATGTCAGTGTGTTACAATGTTTCGCTAGAGAGCAAATGTATGTTTTTGTTCATGTACCACGTCAAAGCTGTCTTGGGTACATTGCAACGCAGGAAATGTTATGTATGTTACTTAATGTAACCATAAGTGAGACAGTCATGTAATATTTTGGCTGTTTTCAAGGTCACCAAAAATGCTGAAGAATTTAGTACTTTAATGGTTAATCTTTGGTGGTGCTTATGCTGTGCTGGTCTTGAAGGAAGAGCATGTCTGATGTTTATTTTATATTTATTAGGTAGCGTGCTTGTATCACAAAGCTAAACATCTGTAACTGTATTACTACTATATGGAGATTATGGAGATCATTCTAAAAGGTATTCACTTAAACCCAGGTATCTGCACTCAGAGAAAATATATTTTCATATTCATTCCATGTAGATTACTAGTTTCAATTACATTTATACTCAATGAGCCATTCTTACAATCAAATTGAGCACTTTTGTAAATGCTTGTATGGAAAACAAATATTTACATATTAAAGACATCAGAGTCTCAACATTAAAGAGTGTTCTGTCAGCAGAGGTTTTATGTTTTGGGGACCTTTAAAAAACGTAAAATACAAAGATTACTATCGTTTTTGTCATTTCTTCGTTATTCCACCGATAATGTTTCTGATTAAACCTTTGATACGTTTAAATCTGCAATGAGACGATTTTCTTAGTGTGGGAAAAACTCCTCACACTTATTTACTTAATTTAATCTTTCTCTGGATAGGTTATATTTTGAGTCAGGTGCTGTACAGGTACATACCTTAAAGTCTTGGCTACAAAAGGCTGCTATTGCCTAGGAAAGATACAGTTCATTTAACACACTGAGAGACCTTTTGTGACAACATGCCTCACTAGCAGAGAATGTTTTATCGTGCTCACTTGTTTACCGAACGAAAAATTCTAATTTTAGTTTGTTGAACAGGATTACCAAAATTATTATAATTCAAGAGCCATCTATCCCATACACGCAGCTCGTACAGTTTTTAAAAAGAAACGACAACCTATCACCTTTCATAGGGTTATTCTTCCTGTCTTACCGGAAGTAACGAAACCAGAAGATTCGCCGCGTATCCGCTAACTACAGCAGTGGCGGCAAAACATTCGCAACAAAATCTCAATTTTGCAATTATTTTCATTGACTTTTGTCATACATATTTAATCTACAGACAAAATGTTATCATTAGACTTCCTCGACGATGTCCGGCGAATGAATAAGCGGCAGGTGTGTATTTATTTAGCCAGTTAGCTCGGCGCTTCCTCTGCTTACTACACGTCAGCTTGAATGGCAGTGGCTTGAGTTGTAGAGATGAAATATGCTTTAAATGACTACATGTTTTGTTGTTAAGTAGGTGTGAAAAGGAAGGCGACTTTTTACAACAGCTGCTGTTCTGTTATTCTGTGCTCTTTATTTATATATTACAGTAACATGTCTTTCACTTTAAGCCGTTGCGCTACAAACGATCTTAAATCTCCATCAGTCATCATTATCTTTACTAACAACACATACTTTCGCTGGGAAATGTAATCAAACTGGGAGCCAACGAAAAAGCCATCTGATGTTTTGCACCTCGTGTTTTTCAGCTTTACTATCAGGTGCTGAATTTTGGCATGATTGTATCTTCAGCTTTGATGATCTGGAAAGGCTTGATGGTTGTAACTGGGAGTGAAAGCCCGATTGTGGTTGTTCTCAGGTAATATGGTCATATTTTTGCAACATACTTTATCTTTTACACGATGCTGTGTTCCCATTGTTAAATTGTTAAAAAATGAGTGATTTCCAGGACTGTTGTAGTGCACTGACTACACTGTGCACTGCCTAGACTGTTGTTGCACTGTACTTTTTATTTACAGAACTATTAAAGCTCGTTTTTAACTGTAGAAACTGGGCAAGTCGGAATGTAGAAGTGAGTGTCCTTATCCAGTAATCACAAAACAAACTGGAAAAGTGAATGCAAATGTATGGAAACCCTGATGATGTCTTATGGATTGGTGCACTGTAAGAAAAAGACATTATCTGTTAAATTTATGGATATTTCCTTAAATTAAAATACAACATAATGCCATGCATAATTAAAAATACAGGTAAAACACCTTTGAATAATTCCATCATTTTAACATTGGGCCCTATTTTTATAGACGTTGCTTAAAATGTTTGAGTGACTTTTGATTTTGAAATTGGTTTATGAATCTTATTTAAAAAAAAATATTTCTTAAAACCAGCTTGTTAGGAAGCCAAATATAAAACCCACTGGGATATTTCAAAGTTAATTGAGGCATATAATCAAAGACTGATATGATTTAAATACTGCACAAGACAATGCAAAATGTTATGCTTAGATCAGTGAAGTGTAATTATTAATAGAGCTGGGCAATGATTAATTGCAATTAATCACATCCAAAATAAAAGTTTTTGTGTACTGTGTATATTATGTGTATATATAAATACACGCACATGCATGTATATATTTAATAAAAATGTTATGTTTATATAATAATAAATTATATTTATATAATAAATTATATTATATATATATATATCATATATATTATATATATAGCAAAGATGCATTAAATTGATCAGAAGTGAACACTTTTACATAGTTACAAAAATAATAATAAAAAGGAATAAATTACAATTTAAAATAAATTACATTTTAAAATATAATGTCATTATTATTGTAGTGGAAGCATGGAGCCTGCATTTCACAGAGGAGACCTTCTCTTTCTCACAAATCGTGTTGAAGATCCAATCAGAGTGGGAGAGATTGTTGTGTTCAGGATCGAGGGAAGAGAAATTCCCATTGTACACAGAGTCCTAAAAATTCATGAAAAGTAAGTACAGTATATTTACAAGATCACAATGCACATGTTTTCCTGAATAAGAGAGTGTTCATGCAATACTTTTTCACCATAGCTTGGGCTGAAAATATTAAAGGTACAGTAAGCAATTTCTAAAAAACACTGTTGAAAGTGGAAAGCCAGTCACCAGTAAGGGGCATGTCCAATCATGATAGGGGAGTTGCCTGTGCTGCATAGCATGCTTGTGAATTTGGGGGGTGGAGCTATCAAGATAGAGGTGTGATCCTGTTGGGTAGGGGCGTGTTTGTTTTGGTGATTTCAAATATCAACAGTGTTTCAATCAATAGATCAATATCAATCGCATACTGCACCAGTAATTGAGATGGCATGCTTGTTTTTAACTAGGTTAGAGCAGTGTGTATTAGTATTACTGATTTTCTGATTATACTGTCTGTCGTTGTTCTTTCCAATAACATTGATCCCTACTAATTTCAGAGAAAACGGCGATATTAAGTTCTTGACGAAAGGTGACAATAATTCTGTGGATGACAGAGGCCTTTACAAGCAGGGACAGCACTGGTTGGAGAAGAAAGACGTGGTGGGAAGAGCAAGAGGGTAAGAATCCCTAGTCGCAGGTGTTGGTTCTGGAATTTGTATTTTTTTTATTTTTCCCATAGAGATTTAAAAAAGTCTTTGTTAAAGTATTATAAGCCATGAACCGAACCAAGCAGCTGCGAGTTGAATCGCAACATTACCAACTAGCAAAAACGTATTTGAAAATCGGACAAAAGGCAAGCTATAGTGAGGGCTACGAATGACAATAGATTTAAAAACGATGTTGAAATATTAAACTATTCACTAAAGTCCGCATGAAATCAAAATTGACTATTTACTTTACTAGCGCACATTGCTAGTCTTGATGTGAAAAATTAATCCGTGCAAGTTAATCCGCTGAAAAAAATTGTTTGTCTTGATAATCTTTAATCAAAATCTGAACATTTGCTTCCGCTCTGGAATGGCATTCCTTCTTTGAAGACGTCAGTTTGACGGCTTGGGCAGAATATCCTTAAACACACCCCTCCAACCGTTAGATTGCTATGAGTGAGAGACCGAGAGGAGGAGCGCAAAAATAAAACCACGCCTTCTATTCAATATTCCGTTTCAGCTGGAAATGCGTCACTACACTGAAATAAAGTCGGCAGCAACATCCGGTTCACGTGGACTTTAAATTTGTTGATTATATCTATAAAAACGACACAGTTTAACTTGAGAGTTTTGGGAGTGTAGGGAGGTCATTCGTGGTGCTTAATGGAAGTGGCAGTTCCCTGCAAGCTTTTTTGGCGCAATTTACTGGCCACAACTCTCTGATTGGTGGGATTTTCTGCACAGCATCATGGGCAATGTAGTCTTTCATTAAGAATTTCACTATTAAAAATAAGTAGGGCTGGGCAAGTTAACGTGTTAACGCATTAACGCCGACAATTATTTTATCGCGCATTAACGCAGTTTTTTTTAATTATTATTATTTTGAAAGTCCATTGCTCACTGGCTCTGAATACACGTACAGACAAACCATGGGTCACAGGAGGGGTGGGATGTTGATTAGTATTGGCTTGGGATGGGTGTCTCCAGCAGTGCTCACATGAATGCTCCCTATAAAATTATTTAGGCTAAGCATCAACGTTCACAAACCACTGTTCACTGTTATTTTTAACAGAAAAGAATGCAACATGCTCGTAATCACGACTTCATAAGTGGGAAATAGAAGGTTTCCAATAGCATGTGAAAACAGCAGAGAAGCACTCTCGCTCAGCACAGTGCAGTGCATCGGTTTGTTAACTTTGTGGTTTATTGTTTTGAGTCGTTTGGGATGCGGTAACACACGGCCCTCTCACAATATATTGCTTTACAGATATATTACTTTTGCTGCTCAGAAATGTTCTCACAAACATGCTGCACTTATCAGAAGTTCCGCGCTCCGGAGCGGTTAGCGCTCACACTACATGCGTACCACGCTCTGGCCCACCTCTTCCAACCGAGCCAGGGACGGCTAAACGACACTAGTCAAATGAACCGGGGCTTTGGGGGTCAAACACGCTCGTGCACGTTTAAGATTGCCTAGTGTGAGTACGCCCTTATATTCTCCCGCATCCCGCACACACGAGTCTTTACCTGCCCGCACTCACCCATCAAGTGTTGTCCTGCACCGCACTCTGTTGCGTTGGGTCACACGATAGTGCAGGTCTCTACTCGGAAGGTGCCTGTTACAATGTTATGATAAAGGCTCTGGACTCTAAGCATAACTTGTTTTTCTATAACAAACTATAAAATATTTTCTACAAAAACGTTAATGCCCTGGCAGTGGCAAATAGCTTTGGTTTTATATTTAATTTGATTACATTAATGTTTAAGTTGAGATTTACAATAAATATTTTAACTGCTACAATGTAAAAGGAATACTGCTGCAAAAAAGCACCTTATTTGTTTAAAGTGTTTGCAAACCAAATGTTAATGCACTTTTGCTCATATAGCAATACTTTTCAATTAAAAAAGTGCGCAATACACTACTTTTGAATTCATTATTGAATTTTGTGTATAACAATGCGATTAATCGCAGAAAAATAATGCGATTTAATCGTGATTAAAAATTTTAATCATTGCCCAGCACTAAAAATAAGTTGCAATTATGTGGGCTGATGTCTTCAACAATAGCATACTGTATACCATTGATTAACAACCTCATAGCTCACAACAGATTTGCCTTTAAAGATTTTGATTTTTATTGTTAAAAATCAATTTCCCTATGGAGTAAGTTTTACTTCCAGAAGTCAACTGTTGCACTCAAATGTGTTTTATTCCATGTCATACATTGCTTTGCTCATCACCGTATTTCTAATCACGCTTCCTCTATGACAGGTTTGTGCCTTACATCGGAATTGTCACAATTTTGATGAATGACTACCCCAAATTTAAGGTATGTAATGTATCATGTTTAAATGATGAGTTGTTGTTACATTGCACTTGTTCTAACACTTGTTCTTTGTTTCCTGACAGTATGCTGTACTGTGTTTGCTCGGGCTGTTTGTTTTGGTACACAGAGAATGAAGAATTTCAAGAGTAACGCCGTCGGGGAACACGCGTCCCTCTTGTGACCAGTTTTTATGGTGTTTTTTTTGTGAACATCCTGCACTTGCTCTTGGAGACAAAGGTCAAATTTCATTTTCTCTGTTGAATGACAGCGCATACACAAGAACTACTGGAAGAATTTGTATTTGTTCATTTTCCATGTCATACCAAATTCAGTTTTTGTTTGATCCGACTTTACAGCTGTACTTGCACCATATGTCAAGATGTAACTTTCTTAAAGGCTAAATTTTGTATTGAATAAAAATGTTGAGCCAAATTTAAAAGTGTGTTGTTTCATAAAGTAATTCATTCTTGTTTATTCTCTTAATTTCTTATGTAAAATGTTTGTATAAACTACCAAATTTTGCTTAATTGCGACGTTTAATCGCAGCATCGTATTCAATAGTATTCACCGTCTGTTTGATTGTGTAATTTGTAACTAACTGCATGATTCTTACTGTACATTTCTGCCATAGTAACCTACTCTTAAGTGAAGTGACATGACCCATACATTATTAGTGCTCTGCATTTAACCCATCCAAAGTGCGCACACACACACACACACTGTGAACACACACCCGGAGCAGTGGGCAGCCATTTATGCTGCGGCGCCCGGGGAGCAGTTGGGGGTTTGGTGCCTTGCTCAAGGGCACCTCAGTCGTGGTATTGAAGGTGGGAGAGCGCCGTACATTCACTCCCCCCACCTACAATCCCTGCCGGTACGAGACTCGAACCCACAACCTTTGGGTTACGAGTCCAACTCTCTAACCATTAGGCCATGACTCTGTAGAAACTTAAAATTGACTCTCTAACCATTAGGCCATGACTCTCTCTGTAGAAACTTAAAATTTTCTGTAAAGCTGCTTTGCAAGGATTGGTATCTGAAAAGTGCTATACAAATAACCTTGAAATGAATTGAATTATATTAGGAGTCACACACTGGTGTAAAAAACAAACAAAAAAAAAAAAACAGAAATAGCTAAAATTCCGCCAATGATTACGAAGAAACGGCAAGTAAAACAATTCATTAAATATGACATTTTAAGTAGAAAAACTGAAATAGTATTTTATTGTAAACAAAGATTACACCGTAGGCTGTTTTATTTACAACTAAAAAAAAAATCATGTTTTACAGCGTATATAGTCTTCATACTGCAGCCAGATGTATATCATAAATGTATTAAAATTAAATATTAAAAAATGCATAATATATTTCCTATAAGCAGAGGCGTCATGCCCATTCAAAGTAAGGGGGCACGTGCCCCCTCAGATTTTTGAGCCAAGTTGATTTTGAATACAGTTTGCAAAAGACAAAAAATAGCCGAATAATATTTGTAATATTTGATTCGATCACACCGCCGTGATTAGAACGTTCAGTAGGTCGATCACATCACCAGCTGCTAAATTCAAATCAGAGACGCTGAGCCAGAGACAGACGCGTTTGGCTGTTTTATAACCAATTACACACGATGCTGTTGAGTTTATGACTGCAATAACCAATCAGAGGTGTTCAGATGAGTCATCGCTAAAATGCCGGTGTTTTCTTCACTCGCTCGCTGACTGAATACCTCTTTCTGGCGAATTCTCGTCAGAAACAACAAAGTGCAGACGTGTGTACGAATTTGTAAGTAAGATACTCATTTCGCAGTGTAAACAGCTTCAGTGATTTTAATGGGAGTTTTTGAGAGTGCTTGAACTCTAAGCTGAAGCCAGTGGAAATGTTTTTTGATAATGTAAATGTTCTTTGCTCTCTTTCTGTACAATGAAAGTGTTATGATTTTAGTGACATGTTTTTATGCATAGTTAATAGATTAGGCTACTTTGAACATCGCCCATTATAGATCAACATAATCTGAAAATGCATCTATTTACATATTTGAGAATCGAGATAGCCTATTTCAAGATTTAGTTAACACGTGTGGGATTCTTTCAAATAAAAAGGAAAAAATAAATAAAACCCCCTCACTCGTGCCCCCTTAAAAATAATGAAAGCATGACGCCCCTGCCTATAAGTATGCTTAGAAAATGTGCAGCTTATGTTTTATTCAAGCATTATATGTAAGTACAGATTAGTATCTTTAAATTCATCTTTACCCTATGATTTATATGAATAGACACAGGCACGTGCAGAGGGGGGTGCGATGGGTGCTTGAGCACCTGCCCCTTTCCCGTTGATGCGCAAAGTGCCCTTTTGGCAAAGCAATTTTTTTTTGTTTTGTAATTAAACGCCATTTTGTGAAGGCCTGCCCAATCTAACTATTAGTAAAATTAATGAATTATTATTTAGTCGTAAATAAAATTATCCACATGATGATGACCTTTCACCTGACGATCTCATCAGGGATTATCCCTCACCTTCAGAGTCTTCAGACACCTTTAATGTAGAGCACTACCAGGATGCCTTCATAACGTCCACGGCTGCCGGTAAGTGCAGTTCTCAGCGGAGCGGTGTGCTTGTATACTTATATTATTAAATTATTATTATTATACAAGAACTGCGTGTCCATTTTTTTTATCACAGAATAAGGCAGGAAATTTAAAAAATCTAGCCACATGAGGCCACAAGCCAGTGTACCTTTTGTGCCGGTCCCAAGCCCTGATAAATAGAGAGGGTTGTGTCAGGAAGGGCATCCGACGTAAAACTTTTGCCAAATTCATTATGCGAATCACGAACATGACTTCCATACTGGCCATTTTTATCACAGAATAAGGCAGAATAGTTTCTATACTGTAATCAATGCAATGTCAATTATTCATATACTTTTATTTATTACCTGGAGATAACTTGAAAAACACACATAAACCGTATATTTTCGCAATCGTGTGTTTATTGTCTTCACGTTTTTTTCTGCTTTTTATTCAGCTCGGCTTCAGCGATAGCCAGATGCTTTTGTCCATATTAGGGTTTCCTGCACGTCATAAGTCATTCCTTCTATAGCTGTTTCTCATTTAGAAGGCTGCGCCCTCTATAGGATGCATATACGAAGTGTCCTCAACCTAGAATTAAACGAGACGGCCTTCGTAGGACAGGTGGAAAAGGAAACAGGAAGTATCACGTTGCTATGCCAACACATTTAGAGCATCGTTGAGCTCTCACACTACTTAAATTAAAGAAAATTATTTCTAAATTTGGAAAGTAATTTGAAAGCTGCAGCGTACGTACTGCAGACATCTGTTAGAGGAAAAAAAAGGAGGAGGATATTAAAAACAAAGTTTATCTGCTTTTACCGAGACGATTTAAGGTAAGTTGTAAACACATCTGCGCTTGTGTGTACATCTGCCGGCACCGGCATTTTTCAAATTAATAACGGTTGTTTACGGCGACGCAAAGAATTGTGGGTTATCTGTAGCAGCGAAGGATACACCTCATGCATCCTCCGAATTCCTGTGAAAGAAGGTCGCATTCGAAGTGTCCTACTTGCTTTTCTGAAATGAGACAGTCTCGATGACGTATGCAGCCTTCGAATGCGACCTCCGGAGGGCGCAGCCTTCTAAATGAGACACAGCTATGAGTCTGTTTTGGACTTCCTGCACGAGAGCGCCCTCCGGCTTCGAGTATGAATTAAACATACACTGCATGAGAGTGTTGAGCGCTCCAGATATTCACTTCTCATTTTGGATACGAATAAAACGTCAGGTCATGCATAGACTATCGATACTGGCTCTTTGAATTTAAATCTAGAAACCTCTACGTGAACACACCTGCCCGAATAAAGTGCGGAGGACGAAATTACATTTCTTTCAAATTAAATATTAAAAATATGCAGCTAACGTTCTACACACAGCAATATAAACAAAGGTGCCTGTTCTCTTTCTCTTTCGTTTGATTGGGAAAAGTTTAAAGGGCGTCTTGTCTTTATGTTATCTGACTAAAAAACTATTACTTTTAACTTTTTTTATTACAGTATTTATTTTAAAAACGTAGAGTGCCTTAAAAAGAATGATCACAACCCTGATAAAAACAGCCTTATACTGATTTTCTCATCCTCCGATTTATAGGCTACTTATCAATCCTTTTTTTATCATCATTATAATTTAAGTGACTTAAGTGACGTGACACGTGAAATTATTTTTAATAATTAAAAAAATGAATAAATTCAGAACAGGATTATAATATAATTCTATTTGAAATAAGACAGAAATATATTTTTTCTACAACAACAACAGTAGTGTTTACAACAGCAAAAACCCCATACCCTGTAAACTCAATAATAATAATAGGCTTAATTTAATTCCGTTTCTATTTTCAGAGTGATTAAGCGGTGCAGAGACATTTTTTATTTAACTTTTAAACTTAAAATTGTCTTTTCTGTTCCGTTTCCTTTTCAAAACTGCGTCACGGCATTTGCTGCTATCAATACAGAAGCATCCGTTTCAATACATGTCTTCAATACACCCCTTTTATACTTTGAGCACCTGCCCCTCCAAAGGTCTCTGCACGGCCCTGAATAGACATATCTATTAAAAAAATCACAGTCATAGTTCCTCAGAACTATCCTGTCTTTATTACATAGTAATACATTCGATTCATAACTATAGAAATGTAAGCTTTATGAGTTCGCAACGCCTCAAAACGTTTTTCCATTATATTAATTCAATTACATTGCATGCGCACAACCAACGCACATCACATAGTGTTTCCCATCCTCATTCAACCAGACTAAGCGTTTTCTGTCGTTATGAGAGTTCAGTGACTAAAACTGTGACCTCAGAGTCGTTTGGCATCCCACCCCACTCTGTTCATATAAAGACCGTCCGTTCCGTTCGCGACCAGCTGCATCTGAACAGAGGAATCCACCTACAGTTACTTGAGAAGATGGCCGCGAGTTCTGAAGACGGACATTGCAAATATAGACTATTTGCTTTCATTATGCTTTTTAACATATCGTTAAGCACCGCGGTCAGTCTCGATTTAACGGAGCTGCGAAATAAAGTTTCCAAAATAAAAGTGCATCCACGAGGGAATCTCTGGGCGACAGGTGTGTTTTCATTTAATCTTGTATTAAATCGTCATGCAATTACAATTAAACTACTAAATCCGTTTCCCAGCATCATTTTTGGTCTTCTTGCAGGACATTTCATGGGCAAGAAGAGCATTTCAAACAGTCAGTTCCAGGACTCCTCAAAGCCTCCCAGGAATACTTTGGGCGAATCAGGCAGTTCAGAGGATTTGAGGGAGCTGATCACTCAGGAGGTGCTCAAAGTTGCTCTTCAGGCTCAGCTTGAAGATCCAAAGAGGACACAAGATGTTTATAATCAGGTGATTAGAGCTATTT